CTGTTAGAATCAATATCATATTTCAGTGTAACTTTCATAAAGAAAAACTTGTTTTGCTTGAAAGACATGTTGGTTGGCAGTACAAACTTACTTATTTTGACTTTTAACTCTACATTTTTCTGTTTTGCTGCATATGTTTCTGAAGTGGATTTGAAAGTCATTTTCTTTTAAAAATCCAGAAATCATTGAACTTACAAAACATCTCACTCAATTTCTTTGAATTCATTGATCTCGTGATCCTGTTAGGTAGTCTTTGTCTGTTTTGAAATCAGTAAAACAAAAGGATAATATAAATCACGATATTATTTGGAGAACTAATGGTAATTTTCAGGGGTCTCTGAGATTTTAGTTTAGTTTTTTTCCACAGTAATTTTTTTAGGGTCTTATTTAGCTCAGAGATGAGCCGCCTTCATTATGATATACTCTTTTTAAAAAAGATTAAAGGGAAATTTATGTGCAAAACCAGTGTATAAACAAGAACATACTTGTATAATACTTGATTAATATATAGAGCATTTCCATCAACCCCAGAAAGTTGCCTTAACCTCGTCCAAGGAACCCTAACCCATATGGTCACCGACCATTCTGATTTCTATCACCATATATTAATTTTGCCAGTTTTGAACTTCATATATTGGCCCTAATTTTCTTTTTACTATTGATTTCTGAGAGTTCTATATGCAATTGGATACAAATCCTTGGACAGATATTTGTAGTAAAAATATTTTCTCTCAGTGTATGGTTTTCATTTTCTTAATAGTGCCGTTGGAAGAATAGAAGTTTTACATTTTGCTTTTGTCCCCTTCATTTTTTTTATGGGTAATGCTTTATGTGTCTTCTCTAAGAAATATTTACCTACCCCCAAGATTAGAGAGGTATTCTCTTGTGTTTTCCTCTAAGAGCTTTATAGTTTTAGGTTTTGTGTTAAGCCCTTTAATTTTGAATTAGGTTTTGTGTAAGGTGTAGGTAGGGAACCAGTTTCCTTTTCTTCCCATATATTTAATAATTGTTCCATTTCCTTTCATGGAAAGACTTTCCTTTTTCCATAGTTGTTTTGGTGCCTTTGTAGAAGATCAAATAACTTTATATATCTGAATCTGTTTCTGAAATCACTCCTCTATTTTAATGATCTATTTGCCTATCCCTATGCTCTATGCTGATGACACAGTGCTTTGATCGCTGTAGCTTCCTACTAACTCATGTAATTAGGATGTGTAAATCCCCCAACTTCTTTAGTCTTTTTCAAAATTGTTTTGGCTGCCTTAGACTCCTAAATTTCTACACAGATTTTAGAATCAGCCTTTCAACTTCTACAAATAAGCCTGTTGCTATTTTTGATAAAGATTATGTTAAATTTATTAATCAATTTTGGAAGAATCCACATCTTAGAAATATTGGCACTTTCTGTCATTAACATAATATATCTCTCTATTTACATAGGTCTTAAAAGTGCTTGCAACAATATTTTGTGGTTTGCAGTGTGGAGGTTTCGTATACATCTAATTAAATGTATCCCCAAATATTTTATGATTTTATCTATTATAAAGCATACTGTTTTCAAATTTCATTTTCAAATTGTTTGCAGCTTGCATACAGAAATAGAATTGATCCTACAACTAATAAACTCATTTATTAATTCTAGTAGCCTTTTGTAGATTGTTTGAGGTTTTCTAAGTAGATGCTCATGTTTCTGCAAATAACAGTTTTATTTATTTTTATTCAATCTATACTTCGTTTTTTATCACCTTCCTGTACTGGCTAGAACTTCAACTCTCACCACTTCTATAGAAGAATGCAAGATTGTGTAGAAGTGATGAGAGTAGCTATAATCATCTTAGAACATAAAAATGTTCAATATTTCATCCTGAAGTATCACATTAACTATACTTTTTATCAGGTTGAGGAAGGTCTCCTACTTCTGCTTTACTCAGAGTTTACATAATTAATGTCAGTTGAATTTTGTCAAATGCATTTTGCACATCTATAGGGTTGATAATATATTTTTCTTTTATTTCCTTTAATATGGTGAATTAATTAACTTTTAAATATTAAACTGACTAAAGTTATGATATGATATGCACTGCCTTACTAAATTGCTGGATTTGATTTCCTAAAAAATTTTTAAATTAAAATTTCTTTAGTTTTATGACAGATGTGGATGTGTAATTTTCTTTCCTTTAAAAGTCTGTGTCAGGAATTGTCAGGAATTATGCTGTCAAATTTCCCTCTTCCTCTATGTCATAAAGGAATTTGTGTAAAACTGGCATTATTTCTTCCTGAAATGTTTGAGAGAATTCACCATCTCTCAATTTAATTTAATATTGAGAAGTGAAATCAGAAATAATAATTAAAGCTGTCTAAGCCTGGAGTTTTCTTCATAAGAAGAGTTAAAGTACAAATTCAACTTTTTAATAATTTTTTTTGAGACAAAGTCTTGCCCTGTCACCAGGCTGGAGTGGAGTGGCATGATATGGGCTCACTGCAACCTCCGCCTCCTTAGTTCAAGAGATTCTTGTGACTCAGCCTCCCGAGTATCTGGGATTACAGGCACACATCACCACACCCAGCTATTTTTAGTAGAGACGGGTTTTCACCATGTTGGCCAGAATGGTCTTGATATCCTGACCTCATGATCTGCAAATTGCTGGGATTACAGGCATGAACCATCATGCCCAACCACAAATTCAACTTTTAAAAACAGATATATGAATATTCAGACTACATGATTTTTTCTTGGGTCTGTTTCAGTAATTTATATTTGTCAAAAAATTTGACAATTTCATCTAAGCTTTCAATTTTATTGGCATAAATTATGCATAATATTCCTCATCCTTTTGATGAATGTAGGCTCTATAATGATATTTTCTTTCATTTATAGTTTTTTCCTCTTTTTGATCCTGCAAGAAATTTCATTACTATTTTCAGAGAGCCAAATGTTATCTTTATTAATTTTTGTTATGGTGTGCCTTTGTTCTGTTTCACTGATTTCTGCTCCTATATTTATTATATCCCTTCATCAACTTATTTGGACTCAATTTTCTTAACTTCTAGCTTCTTAAGGTGAAACAGAGATAACAGCCTTTATTATACCTTTGTTTTTTCTAATATAAGTATGTAAAGCTATAAAATTTCCCCTAAATACTGCTTTAGTTACATCCAACAATTTTGTTTTCAAAATCATTCAACTTAAGATATTTAAAAATGTCTTCTTAACCTGAAAAATCTTTTTGTCTTTTTATGTTTCTGTTTTTGCATCTCTAATATCACAAGGCTATTAGTAAAGATCTCTAAGGTCTCTTTAGAGTTATCATTTTCTGGTTATTCATTGATTGAGTATATTATTATAATTTTAATTGATCATAATAAGCAGTTAGCCTTCAGAATTTTTACATTTAGTGTATTTTTTTCACACAAAGTAAATTATTAAAATATGTCTCAATGCTATTTTTAGTATCAAAATATTTGAATTTAGAAGATGCTACTCAGTAACTTTCTCTAGGAATATGAATTGCAATGTAAAAGTGAAACCATGTATTATAGCCATCAATAATGGGAGAAGAAACCTCAGTCATCCAAACACAGTAATAAATTTGATGTTTATATCTTCAGGACAGGTATCGAATCAATGAATGAACATTCACCATAAAGAACAATGCTGACAAATAAAATAATCTGAAAATATAGAAATAAAATAACTTATCTGAATAGGACTGTGATATAATGAAAAAAATTGTCTGATCTTCATTCCCAGTTACAGGCACAGAGCTTCAAAAACTTGTGGAGTTTCCTGAGTGATAGGAGACTCTATGCTAATGAGGCAACTCTTGGCCTATCCCCTAGTTTCAGGATAGGGTCAGGTCACCAGAAACCAACCACTTGATTAGAAAGTTGGAACTTTTAAGCCAGCTGGGGGCTATCTGGGAAGGAAGCAAGGCTGGACATTGCATTCAATCACATGGTCAATGGTTTAATCAACCATGCCTATGAAATGAAACCCTGATAAATACTCTGGACAGCAAAGCTCAGTAGAGCATCCTGGTTGGTGAAAACATTGACAAGGCAGGAGGATGGCACTCCCTAACTCCACTGGAGATTATAGCAAGAAAGCTCTGCATCCAGGACCCTCCCAGACCTTTCCTTATGGGCCTTTTCATTTGGCTCTTCCTGGGTTGTATCATTTACAATAAAATTGTAATTGTAAGGATAGCACTTTTGAAGTTTTGTGAGTCATTCTAGCAGTTATTGAACCTAAAGAGGGTAGTGAGAACCACTGAACTTTTAACTGGCTGGTCAGAAGTGCTGGTGTCCCACAGCCCCATTTGTAGCTGGCATCTGAAGTACAGCCAACCTTGTGGAAGACTGAGCCCTTTATTTGTGCAATTTGATGCTAACTCTGAGTGGGTTGCATCACAATTGTATTGCAGTACTTCAGCTTGGATTGTGGGGGTTGCAAAATAGAAACATGTATAAAGAAAAGATGAGTACTTGTGGCAGAGAACACCAGTTACAATCCTTACCCAGGTTTGTTTCTGATGTAACACCAGATTTTTTGTTGTTGTTTCTTATTTCACTTAAGCATGCGTCCACCCAGCTAAAAACTATATTTCTCTGCCTCCATTAAAATTCTGGCCAGCAAGATTTATTCAAAACTGTTACATATCCTCTTCTCCTCTTTTTATTATGAAAGCTATTTGCTGTCTCTGCTGTGGCACTTATGTCTTAACAGCAGACAACAATTCTTAGCTATTTATGTTTTTCTTTCCTGAGAGTGGCATATGAGATCCAAAACTTGACTCTCTTTAAAACATGTATCACACTACATAGGACTACTTAATACATTTTTCTGAAAGATTAATAAATTTTTCTGAAACCCCCAAGAATGTATGGGGGCCAGTGGATAATAGTAAGTCACAAGCCCTAGATTCAGTTCAGGAAAGGTGTAGGCTAACATGGGTAGTCACTGTTTCCAAAAACATTCACACAGTGTGTAAAAGAGGCACCTGCAGGAAAAACTCCTCCATTATGGCCATGGTCCACCGATAGTGCAGCTTCCAGGATTTGGCTGGGTGGCTGATGTCTGCTGCATGGAGAATCAGGGACATGATTTTGGCTCTGTCAATCCTGTCAAACCAAGAACATGCTTAATTATTCAGAACAAGGGAACTAATTACAGTCTTTTCTGAGGACAAGCCATGGAATTTTAACATGATAAAACAAACAAGCAAGCAAACAAACATAAACCTACCCTTCAGGCTGCTGCAAACTGTTTCTTATATTTTTAATTAGCTGGAAGTGACCTGACATGTCTGTAGATAAAACCATTTCAATCACTAGGTTCCGAAGATCCCTGTAGGGTCACCAAGAAGAGAAAGGTTCATTGAGCTCTTTATTGTTCTTAAGTGGAACATTGTCATAAATATCACTCACCATGTTTTATTGTTCTTAATGGATATGAACACAAAAGACGCTACTTTTAAATGTGAAAGTCTACACAAAATTTGACATTATTTTACATTTTAACTGTCATGGATCTAAGAAGTTACCAGCAGTGTGAATTGCAATGGTGTTCACACCTCCCTAAGACCTGGTGCTCTCCCTTCTCACTCCCACACCTCTCCTGCACTCATAATTCCTAAATATTATCATTTTTAATCTGAAGGGAACTTTAGCCATTTTAAAGAAAAACTATTCCAAATACAGTATTATATATTATTTGCATCCTTTGAGGAAAAAAACTAACCCAGTGGGACCTGAGACTATTCTAAATCCATATGGTCAATGAAACTAAAAGGCTTGATGTCTCAGAGAAGAGATAGGGCTAAGAAGGGCCTGAGTTTTCAAGGCCCTCTCGTATCCTTCTTTATTTTGCATTTTTTAACAAAACTACTACTATTAATGAAATCAGTGCTATTCCTTCAATAAATTATCAGTGAGGCACTGAACTGTAAGATTAAATGTCTTCATATAATATACAGAGATATTAGAATACTTTAGTAACTAGTTGCTTTCTATGTGTATAAAGACATTTAATCTTCCTAACAACCCCTGAGGGAGTATCAATATTTCCCACCAGAAGAGACTGAGTCATCTAGTCACACAGCTAGTACACGGCGCAGATAAGATTCAACCCAAGAGTTCCCACTTCCAAAGCAGACACGTAGACCACTCCACTGTTCTAACCTTCTATCATAAGAACCCCAAAGAAACCAAGTGGGTAGTGATTGTCTGTTCAAGCTTTTGGGATCTGACCCTACATAACATAGAAAGAGCCATTGGTATTACTGACAGTTTTAACCAAGACACTGTAAATACAATAACCTTACCACAAAGCCTCACACTTAGTAGAAAATAAGGCACCCCAGCAAATGCTTGCATGTTCCACAATTCCTTGTTTGCTCTGTACAGATAAATTTTTAAAAATCACTTGTACTAGAAAACATATTTCATTTTCATTGTGTGGTGTGGCCTGTAGAATAAACTGAACCAAAAGTGTGACAGAAACTTGAATTATGATCTTGCACAAAGATATTTTACCTTAAGATGATGTAATCTATTTGATTATTTGATTTTTTAAAAAACTACATATTGAGGGTTCTTGCTGAAAATCATGGGCACTCAAAATTTCTATTGAATTTTTAGATGGAAGCCATGAGAATCCATACTCTGCTTACTGTTTGTAATATTGGATAGCTTGCTTACTTTTACTTTTACTCAAGTAGTAAGGGAAAGGAAGCTATTAAAGGTAGTGAGTAAAATTATTCTTAATGATATTGTTTTCCCTGAAAATATGACAAGACTCACATTAGAAAAGCAACTGAATAAAAACTAAGGATAATGAGACTAGAGTTTAAGGAAGTCTATAGAATCTAATAAGTATATTGTGGTTTACACATAAATGATCAATGTTATCAAGAATCAACTAATAATATGTTAATGAATTAGGCAAAATAAGAAAATGTTAATTTATAAATTTTTTGTGAAAACTTTTAAATTAAGGCATTTATTTTTACTAAAGGTACTTTAAGAAATAAACATTTTTGGGAGGCCGAGGTGGGTGGATCACGAGGTCAAGAGATCTAGACCATCCCGGTCAACATGGTGAAACCCCGTCTCTACTAAAAATACAAAAAATTGGCTGGGCACGGCGGCACGTGCCTGTAATCCCAGCTACTCAGGAGGCTGAGGCAGGAGAATTGCCTGAACCCAGGAGGCGGAGGTTGTGGTGAGTGGAGATCGCGTCATTGCACTCCAGCCTGGGTAACAAGAGCGAAACTCCGTCTCAAAAAAAAAAAAAAAAAAAAGAAAGAAAGAAAAAGAAAAGAAATAAACAGATTTGCAAACAGAAAACATGGGTCTTTAAGAAGATATCCATATTTTAATTCTTAGTAAACGTTATTAAAGCTGTAGTAGCAAATAAATATTTTATGGATTTTTGGAAAGTGTTGGATCTGTTATATTCTACAATTTAAATAATATGTATACTATTTGTTAAAACGATTCTATAAAAACAATTAAAATGACTCTGAAATTACCAAACAGAAATTTAAAGAAAATTGCAGCCATAAACTATTAGAATAAAATATTTAAAATGATAAATAACAAAATATAATAGGAAATAAAATAACACTGAAATAGCAACAAAGTCCAGTTTGTGGAAAAAAGGTTTATTTTTTTTAATAACAACAAAAATTAATATCATAAAATTTATCTCTGGGAATGGTAATCACTGATTAAGAAAATAAACTAATGCCCTACATGTAAATAATCTCTGTCAGGCTTTAGGAAATATCTCAGAACTTGTCTGCTTCTTCTTACCTTTGCCCATCTAATCTCTACATAGCCCAACAGTGGTCTCTTTAAAATTATTTTACAATTAGATCCTGACATTTCTAGACTGTAAATCTTCTTGGGCTACTATTTCCTGCAGAATACAGTTAGGTTTGAACTGTGTGGGACCACTAATACACATTTTTTTCCCCCTCTGTCACACCTGAGAAGCAAAACCAACTCCTCCTCTTCCTTTCTCCTCCTCAGCCCACTCAATGTAAGACAGAAGATAAAGGCCTTTTTTGATGACCCACTTCCACTTAATAAACTGTAAATATATTTTCCCTTCCTTGTGATTTTTCAAAACATTTCCTTCTCTCTAGTTACTTTATTGCAATAATATTGTATATAATACACATAACATACAAATTATATCTTTATCACCTTTTATATTATTGGTAAGCCTTCCTATCAAGAGTGGGCTATTAATAGTTAAGTTTTTGAAGTGTCAAAAGGTATACATGGGTTTTCAGTTCAATGGAGGTGCCACTAACCTCTGTATTGTTCAAGGGTCAACTAAAATGAAAGGCCTCAACTCTATCTTCAAAAGAAAGTGCCATCTTCCTGCTACCTGATTGCATTTTCTAGAGCTGCAAAAATGAGCCCATATTTCTAGAACTGGCCTTGAAAAACCAGGAAACTTTGAAAATTTGAAAACGTACTCAGGATATTTAAGCTTATTTTAAACTCCGATTTTTATTTTTATGTTTTTCAATATTTTTATTGTCACTTTCTTTTTGGATATTTCTTTGTAGCTTGATTTAAGAAACAAGAATGAAAGCAAAAACCTTTGATATTTCCAATCAAATGGAAACATTTTCTAGTCAATTAACTGGCTTTTAATAAGGTTTTTGTTAAATATAAATATAGGCCTTTTCTTTTCTTGGTATAAGTGAGTCCCATAGAATATTAGGGACATATACTAAGAAGATTCTATGATTAATAAAGTTCATGTTAATTGATTGTTCTTTACTTTTATTTGCAAAGTCCAGCAACCCTATTGCCAAATGAAGGAGATGATAATGACCAAAGGATAAAGAGAAAGAGAAGAAAGGCTATACAGAAGGATGGGGGTACATCTTGTCATTTTTCCATGCATAACAAGTATCAACATACCATACAATTGTTTTCAAACAAATAGATACTTTGGAGGAATATGTAAGATATCCTCTGCACTTGGGTCATTTTAGTATATTTGAGATTTTTTTCCCAGATGTTTAACTTTGTTTTTAAAAAACTCTTAACTCCACATATTTTAAATATATATATATGAAAGAATAAATATAATGCTAAAATTTTGAATTTATGTAACACCCACATTGATAAAAATTAAGCAGAGCTCTATTCCAGAGAGTGTATAATTATGCATGAAAAAGTATTTGTTGTGTTGTATAGTCTTATTCAGGCATACAGATGTTGAGTTGACCTGAAAATATTTCAGCTCCCTCTAACAGAGTCTGGCTCCAGAACAAAGTCCCTAACTACTAATCCTTCTCAGAGTTATCCAGTCAACAGTAATTAAGTTTGTAATATAGGGAAGGCATCAACTTTCATCTATTTTCTTAACTTTAAATCACGTAATTTATCCCTTTCCTGAAATTAAATTTCCCCTAGGTTTTCTCTGAAACTTACCTCCAGTCATCGTTGGATAAATTTATCAAGATATTCATTTCCTCTTCTTGCATAAGTCGATAAGCTGCACTCACGTGGTGATTCTCAAGGACAGAGCGATCATTATGCAAAGTGGCAACATCTGACCTAAGAATTAAAAACAAAATGCCTGGTAGAGAAACTCTTTAGACAACATGAATGTTTAATAAGACATACTGAAGTATCAAGCCATCTGACCAGTAACAATCCTATAATTGAACAGTATTATGGAAGTAAATTAGATTCTTTTATTTTTTATTGTATGATATTTTAAAATTTTATATAAACTCTATTTATTAGAGAAGTTTTAGGCTCATAGCAAAATTAAAGATGGTACAAAATTTCCCATATATTTTCTTCTTCCACACATGCAGAACCTCCCCCATTGTCAACATCCCCCCCAAGAGTGGTATTTTTGTTGCAAGTGATGAACCTACACAGACATATTATCATCTGAGGTCCACAGTTTACATTAGGGTTCACTCTTGGTGTTGTACATTCTATGAGTTTAGAAAAATGAATAATGACATGTTATCTACTATTATAGTCCCATATAGAGTAGTTTCTCTGCCTGAAAATCCCTCTGTGCTCCACTTCTTCATCCCTTTCTCTCCCTTAACCCTTGTAACCACTTATCTTTTTCACTGTCTCCATAGTTTTGCCTTCTTCAAAATGTTATGTAGCTGGACTCACATAGTATATTGCTGTTACAGTTTGGCTCTGTGTCCCCCCCGCCCCCTGCAAATTTTATGTTGAATTGTAATCTCCAACATTAGGGGAGGGACCTGATGGGATAGGATTGGATCATGGGGGCAGACTTCCCCCTTGCTGTTCTTGTGACAGTGAGTGAGATGAGATCTAGTTGTTTAAAAGGGTGTAGCACTTCCCTCTTTGCTTTCTCTCCTGCCACCATGTAATGATGTGCTTGCTTCCTCTTCACCCTTCCACCATGATTGTCAGTTTCATGAGGCTTCCCAGCCATGCCTCATGTATGGCCCGTGGAACTGTGGGTCAATCAAACCTCTTTTCTTTATAAGTTATCGGGTCTCAGGTAGTTCTTTATAGCAGTGTGAGAATGGATTAATACAGAAAATTGGTACTGAGAGTGGGGTATTGCTATAAAGATAAAAATATGGAAGCAACAGTTTGGAGGGCTCAGAAGAAGAAAGAAAGATGTGGGAAAGTTTGGAACTTCATAGAGACTTGTTGAATGTTGTGACCAAAATACTGATAGTGATATGGACAGTGAAGTCTAGGTTGAGGAGGTCTTAGATAGAGATAAGGAACTTATTGAGAACTGGAGTAAAGGTCACTCTTGCTATGCTTTAGCAAAAAGACTGATGCATTGTGGCCCTGCTCTGGAAATCTCTGGAACTTTGAACTTGAGAGAGATGATTTAAGGCATCTGGTGGAAGCAATGTCTAGGCAGCAAAGTGTTCAAGATGTGGCCTGGCTGCTTCTAAAAGCCTATGCTCATTTGTATAAAGAAAGAAATGACCTGAAACTGGAACTTCTTAAATGGCACATCTTAAAAGGCAACAGGAGAGAGAGAGAGTGCAGGGGGAATACTACCACTTTAAAACCACCAGGTCTCATGAGCGCTCCCTCATTATCATGAGAACAGCATGGAGATAGCTGTCTTCATGATCCAATTACCTCCCACCAGGACCAGGCCTCGAAACATGGGGATTGCAAACTGAGATGAGATTTGGTGGGGACACAGAGCCAAACCATATCAGCCACTGTCCTTTAGACCCAAGAATGGTAAATTGACCAACAGCTTGCACTGTGCACCTGGAAAAGCCACTGGCACTCAACACCAGCCAGTGAAAGCAGCCATGGAGGCTGTGCAAAGCCACAGAGGTGGAGTGCCCAAGGCCTGTAGGAGCACACCTCTTATATCAGCATACCCTGGATGTGAGACATGGAGTCAAAAAAGATTATTTGGAAGCTTTAAGATTAAATAACTGTCCTGCTGGGATTCAGACTTGCATGGGGCCTATAGTCCCTTTGTTTGGGCCAATTTCTCCCTTTTGAAATAAGAGCATTTACCCAATGTCTGTACCCCCATTGTATTTTGGAAGTAACTAACTTGTTTTTGATTTTACATGCTTATAGGCAGAAAGGGCTTGTCTCCAATGAGACTCTGGAGTTGGACTTTTGAGTTAATGCTGAAATGAGTTAAGACATTGGGAGACTGTTGGGAAGACATGATTGGTTTTGAAATATGAGAAGGATATGAGATTGAGGAGGGGTCAGAAGTGAAATAAAGTATTAGTCTATTTTCATGCTGCTGATAAAGACATACCCGAGACTGGGCAATTTACAAAAGAAAGAAGTTTATTGGACTTACAGTTCCACATGGCTGGGGAGGTTTCACAATCATGGTGGAAGGTGAAAGGCAAGTCTCACATGGTGGTGGCAAGAGAGAGAATGAGAACCAAGCGAAACAGGTTTGCCCTTATCAAACCATCAGATCTCATAAGACTTACTCACTACCACGAGAAGGGTATGGGGGAAACCCCTTCCACAATTGAATTATCTCCCACCGGGTCCTCCCACAACATGTGAGAATTATGAGATTACAATTCAACATGAGATTTGGATGGGAGACACAGAGTCAAACCATATTATGAGCCAAATGTTGATTACAATTCACCATGAGATTTGGGAAGGGGTCACAGAGCCAAACATATCAAATAATATGTTTGGTTCTGTGTCCCCAGCCCAAATATCATGTTGAATTTTAATCCCCAGTATTGGTAGAGGGACCTGGTAGACGGTGATTGGATCATGGGAGTGGATATACCCCTTGCTGTTCTCATGATAATGAGATCTGGTTGCTGAGAAGTGTGTAGCACTTCCCCCTTCATTCCTTCTCCTGCTACCATGTGAAAACATGTTTGCTTCCCCTTCACCCTTCTGCTGTAATTGTAAGTTTCCTGAGGCCTCCCAGCCTCCCCAGCCATGACTTCTGTATGGCATGTGGATCTATGAGTCTTGAATCTCTTTTCTTTATACGTTATCCAGTCTCTGGTAGCTTTTTATAGCAGTGTGAGAACAAACTAATACAATTGCCTTCTCAAATTGGTTCCTTTCACTTAGTAATATGCATTCAAGTTTTCTTCATGTCTTTTCACAGATTGATCACTAACTTCCTTGTAGCAACAATGTTTTCTTGTCTGCATATACCACAGTTTATTTATCCAATCACCTACTGAAGGACACCTTGCTTGTCTCTGAGTTTTGGCAATTGTGAATAAAGCTGCTGTTAAGTATCTGTGTGCAGGTTTTTGTGTGAATGTGTTTTTAATTTTTTTGAGAAAATACCAAGGAGTGCAATTCATGGATCATATGGCAAGAGTAGTTTCAATTTTGTAGTAGATTGTTAAACTGTCTTTCAAAGTGGCTATACCATTTTTCATGCGTACCAACAATGAATGAGAGTTCCTGCTGCTCCATTCTTACCAGCATTTGGTGGTGTTCGTGTTCAGGATTTTGGCCATTCTAATAGGTATATATTGTCTATTGATCTATTTGGTAGCTCATTCTTTCAATTTGGATTTCTCTGATGACACGATATGGAATATCTTTTAATATGCTTATTTGCCATTTGTGTATCTTCTTTACTGAAGTGTCTGATAAAGTTTTTGGCCCATTTTTAAATTTGGTTGATAGTTTTCTTGTTGAGTTTTAAGCATTCTTTGTATATTTTGGGTAATAGTCCTTTATCAGATGTTCTTTGCAAATATTTTCTTCAAGTCTGTGCTTGCCTTTTCAGTTAATTGATAGTGTCTTTGGTAGAGCATCACTTTTTTAATTTTAATGAAATCCAACATCAATTAATCCTGTCATATGTTGCACCTTCGATATTATATTTAAAAAGTCATCACTAAATCCAAAGTCATCTAGATTTTTCTATGTAATCTTCTAAGAATTTTATAGTTTTTTGTTTTCAATTTAGGTCTGTGATCCATTTTGAGTTAATTTTCTTTTTTTTTTGTGAGAACCTAGGATGTTGAAAAGTAAAAAAAGGAGAGAAGGAGAGGAAGAAAGAGGAAGAAAAAGAGGGAGAGAGAACAGGAATATTGCTTCATTCTAAAAATGGGTATTAATAATGGCCGATCAATATTTTGTGTATTTAAAATGGAGAACTCTATAAATATTTATTGAGTTTACTTGTTCCGGATCTGAGCTGAAGTCCTGGATATCCTTATTAATTTTCTGTCTCGTTGAGTCTAAATCTCGTTATGGGTCTTATGTATCTGGGTATTAAGATCTCTTATTGTTGCATTGATCCTTTTACCACTGTATTTTTGTTGCTTTGAAATCTATTTTATCAAATGTGAGAATTGCAACTCCTGCTTTTTGTTTATTTATTTATTTTTGCTCTCCATTTGGTTGGTAAATGGAGATCACCCAAGATGGCTGATCACTAACAGCTCAGGATTGTAGCTCCCAGTGAAAGCTCAGAGAACGAGAGGACGCCACACTTTCAGACAAATTTTCGTCGCTCACGGACCAGCAGATTTCTAGTGGAGGAGCCCCACGGGTCGCCAGCGCGACTCTTGTGGCCAGCACAGCAGTTTTGCCAGCACCTTAGCGCGGCAGCTCTTCATGCAGAGTAAACGGGACTGGTACCCTTACTGACCGGTGTTTAGAGCTCCAGAAAAGCAGAGCTGCTTGTTGTGGACTCAAGAAGGAAGCCAGACCAGAGATTCCCAGGCAGAAGAGCACCATCAATCTTATTGCTGCTATTTTGGCTGGCACAGTGGGTTGCTTGAATCCCAGCACTGGGAATCAATAAATTGGACGTCGACTCGGAAACCTAATTAGAAAGGCGGTTACTGTAAGATGATAGATGGATAAATTTAGAATAAAGGGAAAAAACCAGCCTAAGAAGGCCGAGCATACCCAAAATCAGAACCCCTCTACAGGGGATTGCAGTTCCTCATCAGCAACGGAACAAGCCCTGATGGAAAAGGACTGTGTTCCATTATCTGAAGTAGGCTTCAGAAGGTGGATGATAAGAAACTTCTGGGAATTAAAAGAACTTGTTCTAACCCAATGTAAAGAAACTAAGAACTTTGAAAAAAGGTTTGACAAAA